TGTGCCCCTCTTCCCCTCCAACACCTGCCGTGGCTCCCAGGGGGCGGTTTCTCTGCCATCTTGTCTCTTGCTCCCTAAATCCTCACTGAACACCTACTGCGTGCGGGGGGCGGTGGGGGGGGAATGGAGGTGCTAAGCCTGGAGATTTCCCTAATGACCAAATCAGACCAAATCCCTTTTGTCATGGAACTGGGGGTGGGGGGAGAACAAGGGACTATCTGTTGACTTAAGTCGTGTGCAGTGGTTGATGCTGGGAAGATAGAGCGGGCAGCAGGGTGTGCTGGTGGTGGTCATGGCAATTAGTGTCCGGCACTGGGAACAGTGTGTTCCAGGCAGAGGGAAAGGCCCTGAGGTCCTATCAGGCTTGGTCACCCGCAGGCACAGGAAAGAGGCCAAGAATGGTTAGGATGAAGGCCTCCACAAAGGGGGGGCCAGTTCCTCAAGGAACACCCCTGTCTACCTCTCACACCCTCCTCAGCGCTTCCCCCGCCTGCTGTACCCTCACCTGCCTGCCACCCCTAGCCTTGAAGCCCTCCCCTCCAGCACTGGCTCCAGAAGCTTCCTCTTTCTCTTGACCGGCCAAGATCCTGGACCCTGTCGTTCGGGCCTCCCTACATCGAGACTCAGGCTCCTGGCGGTGTGGTCTGGGGCAAGTCATTACCTGCCTCAAGCCTCAGTTTCTTCATCTGTAAAACGGTCTTTCCTTCACAGCTATTTTCAAGAAGTAATTGAGGGATGGGGCACCTGGCTGGCTCGGTCAGAAGAGCACATGACTCTTGATCTCTGGGGTGGTGGGTTCAAGCCCCACATTGGGTGTAGATTTGAATAACAATAAGTACATAAATGTCCAAAAAATAATAATAAAGGAATTAACAGAGACTACTCCAAACCCTTAGCCAAAGCCAGTGCGGAACAGAGGTTCAAAGCATAGCTGTTGATGATTTCTGTTACCCTTAGGACCCGCCTGGCCTTCCTGACTATTTTTGGTTGCTCCTCGGTAGGGCCAGGAGCGCCTTCAGCGGCGGCCGGGGGACCTGCCGTGGCTCTGCCCTGTTTTGTGGCCTTGGCAATTTGCCGCAGTTTTGTTGTCTGCAAAATGGGCAGAGTGACGTCATCTCCAGGTCCCAGACTCCACCATCGGTGGCCGCCAGGTTCCTTTCTGCTTCTCCCTCAAGACTGTGTCCAAGCTGCCAACCCGCAGAGAACTCAGGAAGGACGACGGCAGCAGGTGTCCCTGGCCAGCCTGGACTGTGGCCATTCCGTGCGTCATCTGGGGGGTTCCAGCTCAAACCAGAAGGAGAAGGAGGAGGAGGAAGAGGGCTGGTTCTCTGGGGCTGGGGTGCTCTCAGACCTCGGGGTCTATGGCCATGCCAAGGGGTGTATGGGGTGGGGGCTGGGTCCAGCTCAGACCACTGGGGACTCTGGGACACTGAGGATGTTAGGACCATTGTATGGACAGGAAATCTGGGGGGGAGGGGCTAACACCCCTGAGGCGCACAGATCCCCCTGCTAGAAAGACTCTCCAAAGGGGAGTGGAAGGAGAAGGGGAGGAGCTTTTGAGAAGCCGGGACCCCCTGAAGGGATGGTGCCAGAGCGGGGTTGAGGTAGTCAGAATGGGGGGTTCATCCCATCCCATCCTGCTCCCCTCTCCTCAGGTCCTGTGCCCAAAGAGCTGGAGGCTTCGCCCCTCCTCCCTCTCCTCCCTGGGCTCCTCCTCCAGCGTCTCGGCCCCTCCCTCTCGGTCCCCCCCACCCCCCGTCTCTCCCGCGCACCACCTTCCCTCCTCCCCGTCCTCACCCTCCTCCCGGCCCCTCTTATCTCCTTCCCCCCTCCTCTTGCTTCTTCCCCAAACCCCCTCCCGTCCCTTCCCTCCATTCTCTCCCCCTCCTCTTCTCCCCTCCCCTCCGCCCAACCTCCACCACCCCTCCATTCTTTCCTCCCCCACCCCTTCACCCCCTCCCTTGTCCTCCTTCTCCCTCTCCCCCTTCGCCCCGCCTAGCCCCCCACCCCCTCTCCTCTCCCCACTCCCCCTGCATTCTCTCCCGCCGCCCCCTCCTCCTCTCCGCTCCGCTCTCCCGAACCTCCTCCCCTGCGCTCTCCCCACCGCCCCCTCCGCCCCCTCCTCCCGCCTCATTAGGCGCGGCCGCAGCGCGGGGCCCATTAGCGGATCAATTAGCCGAGGTCGCCGGCGGCGCGGTCGTTAAGCGCGGGAGGCCGCGGCGGGGAGGGGGCTCCGGAGGCAGCGCCTCCGCCCGCCCCGGCTCAGCCGCCGCGATCGCGCGCCCCCAGGACCTTCTGGTCCCCATGCCCCACCGGGGGCTCCTGGACCCTCGGGGAACCAGCCCGGCCCTGCAGGCGGGATTGGGGGTAGGGGCTCCGAGGCCCACGGGAAGACCCCTCAGGTCACACACCCTTCGCGGCTGGGCAGGGTGCCCCTTCACCCTGGTTTAGGGGTGTCGGTTTTGTGCCCCCCACCCACCCACCCCCGGCGCCCTTCCTCTCCCAGCAACATCAGCAATAACATCAGCTGACAGCTTGTGAGCCCTCGCACGCTTCCTGCTAATTCCCGGGAACAATTTCCCAGAAACAGATCAGACAAGTGACTTCACTTGCCTCAAATCACTAGTTAGGGTCTGAGACGGGTACAAACTCAGGTCTGCCCTCAATAAATTTGCTAACATTTATTGAATTGCTTCTATGAGCAAATTAAAAAAAAAAATGCAGCCAACACTCCCCATCCCTTGTCTGCCTTGCTGTCTATCAACACGAGCGCCGACACATTCTGGATTCTCCTAGTTATCCGCCTATTCCAGCCAGAAGGCAGGAACTTCTGTCTTCTGCGTCCCTGAGGCTCAGAGGCGGTCCCAATGAATGAATGAATGAATGAATGAATGAACGTGCTAGGAGCATTTCCATGGCTTAAATAATTTGGTCTTCATAACGATGGTTTGTTCTGAGATCATACCCATTTTACAGATCGGGAATCCAAGATCCGGAGAGGTCAAGAGCCAGAATTTAAATCGAGGCTGGAGGGGCGCCTGGGTGGCTCAGTCGTTGGGCATCTTCCTTGGGCTCAGGTCACGATCCCAGGGTCCTGGGATGGAGCCCTGCATCTGTTCTGCATCGGGCTCTCTGCTCATCAGGGAGCCTGCTCCCCCCCCCCCACCGCCTGCCTCTCTGCCTGCTTGTGATCTCTGTCTGTCAAATAAATAGAGTCTTTTAAAAAAATTAAATAAATCAGGTTTGGAGGCCTGGTGCCCGCAGCCATCATGTGACATACGGGACCTGGGTGGAGGGATCACGGACCCCTGCTGGAGAGGAGTTGAGGAAAGTGACATCTGGAAGTCTTGGAAGCTTACTACTCTGGGGAGGGGAGAGAGAGAGAGAGAGGGAGAGAGAGAGAGAACACTGTTCCAGATAGAGGGAACAGCATATGCAAAGCCCTCCAAGCAAGGAACAGCAAGATGTTTCAGTCTGGAGTCATTGGAGGGGTGAGAAGCAGGACCACTGCCATGGACACCCCCCAAATCCACTTTGTAGGATTTTTAAATTGTGAAATGTAACACACCAAAGAGGGCGCACATTGCAAGTGAACCACGGGATGATTAAAGACTGAACAACACACTCAGCAGCCCCTGAGTTAGGAAACCCAACATGCACGGCAGTCCGTGTGAAGCCCCCTCTGACCCTCCCTCTTCCTCTCCAAGGGTGACCCCATGACACCTGACACTATAGGGCTCTTGGGCTTCATTTTGTTCCTTATATAAATGGAATCACTCAGCAGGTACGCTTTCGTCTCTGGCTTCTTTGGGTCAGCGAGCCGTGGGCACAATGGCGAGACCCAGGAGTTGAGCAGAGCAGTGCCTCCCTCTTTTTCGAGGCTGCGTAGCGTTTTCCAGGCCTGCCATTCTGCTGTTGATGGGCGGTGGGTGGTTTCCGGTGGGAGGAAGTCGGGAGGAAGGACAGCAGCTCTGAGCACCCTTGTCCCGTGCCTTTGTGGAGGAGGGGAACGGTGGCTCTCGGGGGTGGACCCAGGAGGGGAAGCGCTGGGTGCCAGACAGCCTTCCAAGAGGGTGTGACAGTTGGCGCTGTGAGTTTTTACGCTGAGTGTCCTGGGTGAGTTCTGGTTTTTGGCCCAGGATAACGGCTAGGCAGGGAGGGACCCCATCACACGGGCCTTTTTAGAGCTACTGTTGCTGTGGAGGTGGGGTGGGACCCACCCAGTCATGCTCCCCCCTCCTCTTCCCCTGTGAGCCATTTCCCCAGGGGGAAGCACTCCATCCCCACACCCCTGTGCCCTGGGTCCACCTTGAGAAGCCACTAGATTTGGGCGGGGGGTGGGGGGCAGGTGAGAATTTCTTGACTTTAGCAGAAGTCCCCAGGTGCCCAGGTCCTTGAGGGTAAGGAATCCCTTGCTGTTGGGCCCCGCCTCATTCTCAGCCTGGCCCCATATGGTGGGCAGCCTGAGGCATCTTGGCCCTGTGCCAGGTTCACTGGGGGACTCTCCTTTCCTTCTGGCTCCCCCAGGTGGCCCAGCTGGGCTGTGGCAGGGAGACCACCAAGAGGTCCTCCGAGGGTCAGGTTCAGCTGGGGGTGGGGGGTGGTCTGTGTTCTCAGATCTGGATGGATTCTGCAGTGTTAAAATCTTCTAAGGAAAGAGAAGGCCACTGGGAAGCCCTCTGGCCTGGCGACCAGAGATCAGCTCTGCTCAGCTGCACGCACCTGGGCCTGGCTGTGTGACCTGGAGCCTCCAGGAGACCCTCTCTGGTCTGCGCATCAAGTTGGGGAGACAGACCACGCTGGCAAGCCGGACTCCCACGGGGGGGGGCGAGGAGGATCTCGCTATCCCATCCTGTGAGGAGCGTTGGTGGTATAGTGGTGAGCATAGCTGCCTTCCCATCCTGTGAGGAGGAGCTCAGACATGAGGGAAGCCCCCTCCTCCCCTAGGAAGGGGGCACCGCGGCGGCAGCCCGCAACACAGAGGCAGGAACAAGGCAAACCAACCTTCTCACATCTTTATTTGAAAGGCACAGCTAAGCCCACCCTCGATACAGCATTCTCCCTTCTCTCCGCAGCGATCAAACGACTGAACACAACAAAAGCTGACAGTCTAAGAGGCTATATACAGACACAGGTGTGGGTGTTGCTTGTTTTTTTTTTTAAACATTTTTCTGTCTTTTTTTCTTTTTTTTAATATCCCTTTTCTTAAAAGACAAGCTAGTATACTGGAAAAAGGGGAAAAAAAATAAAATAAAAACCAAGACAACTTGAGTACCCTCATCTTTATTCGGGGAGGGGAGAAAGGGAATTCTGGGACGCCCGCCCGCCACCCCCACCCCTGCTCCTGGCTAGGCTCACTGTCTCCGCCCCCTCTCTGGGAGAGGACAGGTGGGCGTGGGCTCTGGAACTAGCGGAGGAGGTGAGTGAGTGGGGAGGGGCGTGGGGTGCGGGAAGGGGCAGCTAGCGGTGGTGTTTGCATGCAGTGCCAGGGTGGGAGGCTGGGGGGCGTGTGCCCTGAGGGGCCTGGCGGCCCTGCGGTCAGGTGCACGTTCGCGGAATGGGGCTGTGCAGGGGTGTTGGGCTTCTTGAGGCTTTGCTGTCTTCTGACCTGGCCTCCCATTTGTGCCTCCAGGCCTCAGCTGGCCTCCTGTGTGGAATGAGCGGGCATTCGCCCACTCAGGCTGCAGGGGAGGAGGATGAGGGAGGACGCAGAGGAGAAAGGAGAGGAGTGGGGGAGGCCGGGAGCTGGGGGTGTGAGCGAAGCTAGGGGTGGCGCATGGGCAGGGCTAGGACCCCAGCAGGCGGCTACCATAAATACTACCAAGTTCGGCGGAACCCGAGCTACACTGTGTCTTGCGCTAAACATTTCTCTCTCTCCCGTGTCTGTCTCCCCTCTGTCCCCCCACCCTCCTTGTCCCCGCCGCCCGCTAATCCGACTTCTCGCCGTCATCCTCCTGGTGGGTGTCCCCGTCATGCCCATTCTTGTCTTCCTTGGAGAGGTGGGCCTGGGAGCCCAGCGCGGACAGTGAGAGCAGGCCGGTGCCGGCGCTGACCGCGGGCAGCGAGGGCGGCTGCAGCCCCACGGGCAGTGGGGTCAGGGGCAAGGCCAGAGCCTGAAGCTGGGACAGCTGATGGGCTTGGAGCTGCTGCTGCAGGGCAGACGGGAGGGAAGCATGAGCTGCCTGGGCCGCCCATCCAAGACCCAAGACCCAAGACCCAAGACACAGACATACCCGGATGATGGAGTTCAGCTCAGGAGCGGTGACCTGCTTAGCTCTCTCGATGGCTCCCAAGACCTGCTGCTGGTGCTGGAGGGGGGATGGGGCAAAGAGAGGAGCCAGGAGCTATATGCCCTGATCTCTGAGGGTTTGAGGCACAGAGCCCAGGGGAAGGCACCCCCCACTGTGGCTTTCCATCCCACCAGAAAACCCCTCCCTCCAGCCACTTCTGTTCACCAAGCCAGATTCACAGAAGACTCAGAGGGACTGGTGCCAGATACTTAAGAAAACGCCATTGTGCGAGTCTGAGAGAAACCCTGGACCATGACCTATTCAATACCAAGTGCAAAGAAATAAATGTACAGTGCACAACCTGGCCAACTGTACAGGGAAGTCTTGATCCTAAGAGCTTACAGATTGTGCTGAGATTTGCTAATCTAAGCTCCTCTCCTACTACAGCTGGGGAAGGCCCAGTGGATTCTGGCAGTATAGGGGCAAGAGTTTAGGTTCAGGACAGTCCCTCCTGGGGCAATCTGCCGCCCACACTCCAGCCCTCCCTATGAGTCCATCTCTCCTGCCCTCAGATGCCAGACTCTGCTAATCTCCCTTTTCACCTTGCCTTCCAGGAAGCCCCTGTCATGAAAGGAAAGCACAAGTCTAGGTCTTCAGGGCCCCAAAACCCCCCTTCTCTAGGGTTTTCATAGTGTCCTTCTGGGCATGCAGGTCACCCGCAAGGACGCCAAGATAAAGTCAGGGATTAAAGAGGAAAGGATAAATAATAGACAGGAAACCTGGCAGAGGGCAGGAATTGCAGAGCGGGGAATGCGGAGTGGACCTCATACCGAGTCTCAAAATCCCAAGAAACAAAAGCAAAGCTCGGCACGTGGTTCCCCAGGGCACATGTGTCCCCGTGGTCGGTGTTGCACCTGTACGTGTCTCTCTGTCCGTCTGCAGACACAAGCTGAGCACCCTCCCCACACACCTGGCCTCTGGTTTCTGGCCTAAGGTAGCTCAGAAGGCCTGGCAGGCAAACCTCGGGGGGGTAAAAGGCAGAATCCAGAAGGGGGAAAAAAAATTCTCAGTACTCTCTTGGGCATATCTGACATTTTTACCTGTGAAATGACTCACTCAGGCTGGGAACTCTGCAGCAGAGTGAGGCCCCCTCCCTCCAGCACCCTGAACCCCTGGGGTTTCTCCAACCTGGGGATTCTTCTGTGTCTGGAAGGTCCACAGAGTGGAGGTGTGTGCCCTGGGCATCCAGAAGCTGCTGGGCGGGGGGCGGTGGATGGGGGAGACAGGCCCTGGGGAAGTTCATGGTCCAACTACCTCCTCCTCCCAGCAGCCCCAGGGCGCCACTCACCTCTTGGGAAAGGTAGGGTAGGACCTGGGCACAAATCCCATTCAGCCTCTTGACGATTTCAGCCTGTAACACACACATGGGCCTCAGCCCAGGGCTGCAGCGGGGGCAGGTGCAGACCCGCCCCGGGAGGCCTGTGAGGTGCTCCCTCGGAGAAGGCCAACTCAGCCCAGGGTCAGACCAACACCTGGAGCCCACGGGCACTGGGTCAGCAGCCCAGGTGGGATCCGAGGCCAGCTCTCAGCCCCACAGCTAAGAGGGTAGGCTTGCGGGTGGGGGGGGAGGTGGCGGGCAAAGGAAGGCCGGAGGGAGAGGAGCAATCCGGGGGCTGGCATGTCCCCCCCCCCCACTGCCAGAAAGGGGAGTAAGCAGGTAGGAAAGGTCTTGGCCCCCCACCTTAGGGAGAAATCTCCCAGGGAGGCCTGAGAAGGAACAGGGGGAGGGGCTGGGAAGGTCACAGGATCAGGTGTGGAGGCCTGATTGGACTTGGGGCACAGCCAAGGGGCCGGGCCCACCTGTCTGGGGCTGCAGAAGCGGGGGCGGGGGGGCATACCTGCTTGTGCATCTCAATGTTCAAGCCATAGGACATCTCATAGTACTGCGTGGTGGAGAGACAGAGAAAGAGAAATGGGGGTGGGTGAAGACTGGGGTATGTGACAGAGGGACAGAGACACACATGCCCGGGTGGCGGGAGCAGGAGGGCAAGTGGGAGTCCCCCACACCTGGAGCAGGAGCTTGGGCACCTGGTGGGGCTGCATGTGGGGAGCTTCGGGGCCCCAGCCAGGTCTGGTTCCCCTGGTTTCTGGAATAACTATCCAGCCCCTTTTCCAACACACATACATTCCAGGACTCCTAATCTTTTATCTTTATGTGTCTTGTCTGCGGGTGGCCCCAGACTCCGGGGAAGTTTGCCTTCCTGGATATAAATAACCAGGATAAACGAAGCCTGCAGGGTCTGGCTCTGGGGTCAGTAGCCACCCCCCCCCCCGCCCTAGATCTGACCCTGCCTCCTCCTCTCCTCGAAAGCCCCTCATAGCTCCCCATCATCCCTGGGGGTGGGGCAGGGGAAGCCAAGTTCATTCCCAGGACTTTCTATGGTTTCTTCTCCTCTGCCCAGCAAGCTCCTACTCATTCTTCAAGACCCTAGCCGTAATGCCCCATCCTCCATGCCGTGTGCCCCCCACCGAACACCCCCATCCTGGGTTGCTCTCTGTCCCAGCCCCAGCCCTCCAGAGCTAGGAGGGTCAGCGTCTGGCTCTGCCTCCCCTGAAGCCTGGGAGAGCTGGGCTCTGGGCTGGACTGAGGCAGGGGCTTTCTGCTGTAGGAACTGCCACCTGGTGGGTAGAAATCCCAGCAAGGGATTCTGGTATTGCTCACAGGCAGGGTCTCAGATGTCAAGCAAAGAATGCAGGTGTCACCCCTTCCCTCCCTCCAACCTCAAAGGATGTCAGCTTTCTGCCCGATGCCCCCAACCCCCAGGAGTCCTCCTTCTGAAGCTCGGGCAAGGAGGGGTTAAGGGCTGGGATGCCCGAACTGTGGGGGCAGGGAAGGATCCGGCTCCCCCAGTCAGTTCCTGGCTTTGGCTTACACAGCGGCTGCCTCCTCGGCCGCCAAGGACAGCCGGGGGACCTGGCAGGCCCGGGCTGCAACCCGGTGGTTTGGCACCTGGGCCACTGCCTGGGCCGGCAGCCAGGCCAGCAGGGCGGCCTCGGCCAGGCCCCAGGGGCCCAGCTGAATGGAGAGCAGACCCCGAAGCCTTGTCCATCCCACAGGAGGTGGCCAGGGTTCAGGCAGCTGCCAGGGTTGGAGAAGGGTCAGGGGTGTCCCCTCCCCTCCCCGCAGGAGCCCAGCTCACCATCACATAATGACGTTGCATCTCTGACTTCTCGCTGGCCAGCTTGTCACATTCCAGCTTGAGGCTGAAAAAGAACAAGGGGAGAGGGACCAGGGGCCCGTCGTGTGGGGAGGGGGGGGGGGGGGGGGGCCCCGAGGTTTGGCGGGGCGGGGGGTCTGGGGGGCGCGGCTCAGGTTTCCTAATAACAGAAATCAGAGAGAGCAGGCAGACTCCGGGTCAGCCAGGGACTCAAAGAAAACTCTTCCCTGTCCGGAGACTTGATGAGATCAGTATATTGGTGTCACCCTCATTTCCCGATGATGCAATGGATGCCCAGAGAGGCTGAGTAACTAGCTCAAGGTCACACAGCCAGAAAGCTGGCTTCCGAGGCCACAGTCCCAATCCCTGGGAAAACTATCCAGCCAGGGAGGAAGGAACGGAAACCACAGAAGTGGGGAGAGAGTGGAGGGTGGAAGGCTGGCTGGCAGGGCTCTGGGTCGGATTCACCAAGAAATCTCCAGGGGGGTCTGGTCCATCTCGTAAGCCTTGATTGCACTAGGGGGTAAAAGTTCCCACTGTTGGGAGCCGCAGGCCTCTCTCAGGCAGGGATGAACTTAGGCCATTTCTCAAAGCCTACCATCCCCTGTCCCCAAGAAGGGCAGAGAAAGACCTAGAAAGCTGACAGCATGGACTCAAGCCAGGTGCACTGGATTCAAAGGTCAGCCTGGACCCCTTGATGCTGTGTGGCTCTAAGTAAACCTCTCTACCTCTCTGGGCCTTGGTCTCTGCATCACCAAGTATCAACCTCCTAGGGTGGGGTGGTGAGAAGGAAATGGATTAAGACAAGAAAATCTGGGGACGCCTGGGCAGATCAGTTGTTAAGCCTCTGCCTCTGGCTCAGGTCATGATTCCAGGGTACTGGGATTAAGCCCCGAGTTGGGCTCCCTGCTCAGCAGGAAGCCCCACTCTCCCTGTCTCTTTCTGTCAAATAATAAAATATTTAAAAAAAAAAAAGACAAGAAAATCTTCTGGAACAATGCCTGGTATACAGTAAGCACCCAATAAATGCTTGGTCTTAAAGTCCTCCTAGGGACCTGGCGCTTCACTCCACCAAGCTGTGACTTGTACGCCCAGAGTCAGAGATGAGCCATAGTTTGTGTTGCTGTGGACCCCCCCCACCATGAGTTTGTTTTCTCTCATTTTCTTTAAAAAACGCTATTTGTTGGGGCGCCTGGGTGGCTCAGTGGGTTAAAGCCCCCTGCCTTCGGCTCAGGTCATGATCCCAGAGTCCTGGGATCGAGCCCCGCATCGGGCTCTCTGCTCGGCGGGGAGCCTGCTTCCGTCTCTCTGCCTGCCTCTCTGACTACTTGTGATCTCTGTCAAATAAATAAATAAAATCTTAAAAAAAAATAAAATAAAAGAGGCTATTTGTTGACACCATTAGCAAAAAAAAACAAAAAAAAACAAAAAAACAACCCAATCAGGCACTTTGAGCCCAAACTCTGAATTTCTGGCTCTTCTTGAGGGTCTGGCAAATCTTGGGTGTGCCCCCAACGTGGCAGGACCCCTCACTGTACAGAGAGAAACCCAGGGTCAGTGGATGGAGACCCCAAAGTTCAGAGAGGGTGTCTGGCTTCCCCAAAGTCACCCAGCACACGACAGCACTCTGACCCGGAGCTATGGGACTGGACCAGCGCCAGTGCTCACTGAGATGGGCCTGGGCCAGGTTGGGAGGGAAGGATCGCCTTGAGGGGCTCAGAAGAGCCAAGTTTGCCAAGCCAAGTCCCTAACCAACCAGGGGACCAGAACAAAGTTCATGGGGCCTGCCCTTCAACTGCCCGTGCCTCAGTTTCCCTGTCTGAAGAACAGGCACACTAACAGGACAACGAGGAAGACTGAACAAGAGGATGTCGGTTCAGTATTTAGCGTGTGGGGAGCACAGCCAGTACCCCCCAAAAGGTGGGATTTTTGAAAATTTATCTATAAATCTGTATCTTGTTATTTCTCTTTCTTCTCGGGAGAAAACCCAGGATCCTTCTTGGAACACTCTGCTGTTGGCAAACTGAGGTCCCGAGAGGGCCCAAGGCCCGGTGGGGATTTGTGACTGCCCTTCTGATTCCCAGGTACAGCCCCCTGACTCTGTAACAGAGCCTTGAGAATCTGCATTCTTCAAACCAGAGATTGGCTGCAAACCTGAGTCTGCCACTTCTCTGCTGTGCAGCCCCAGAAAATCTCTAACCTCTCTGGGCTTAAATTTCTTTAACCGTGAGATGAAAATAATACCAGGTCCTTCCCCTTAGCTCCGGCACTTGGCAAGCCCTTTACAATGCTAGAACCTTAAATTCTGGAGGAAGAGCCGCCTTTGAGAATCTGTTAGGACGCCAGGAACTCCTTCTCCAAAACTAAGCAGAAAGATTTTAACAGGCTACAGAGTGTTTTCTTTTCGGGGTGGGGCGTCGAAGGTTCATCCATTCCCCAACTTCTTGGGAGGTCTTTTAACCAAGGGGGGACTGGGGGTTGCTGGGGAGAGGAACTCTGAAGCCACACAGATAGCTGAGTCTCTGGGCAAATAATTGTAACTTTTTGCGCCTCAGTGTTCTTACCTGTAAAATGGGCTGTCTTAAGGTCTATGCGAGTTTAATATTAGAACGAGCTCACGACAGGGCCTACCACATAATAGAACGCTCTCTACCTACATTTTTTTCAAATATGAGTATGTAGCTGTGGCCACAACCTTCCCTCCAAGCCTGGGGGGGGGGGGGGGGGCGTCCACCATCCCCCCTGGGGGATCTCTGGGCCCCTGCTCACCTGTGGTACTGAGCCTGCAGCAGCTGAAACTCGTCTTTGATGCGGTCGCAGGAGTCCGAGGTGGTGAATTTGAGTTGCTGGGGTAGGTGAGACGAGCCCTGCGGGGCGGGGGAGCGGCCCCGGTCAGGGCCAGGCGGGGCGGGGCGACCCCCAAGGCAGCGGCCAGTCGGCGCAGCTGCAGCGCGGGCCCCCCCTCTCGCCCCACTTCCCGGGCCCGTGTTTACAGCCCCTGGCGCGGCCCCCGCCCTCGCTTCCTGCCCCCGCCTCTCCCGGGGGAAGGCGAGGGGGTGGGTGCGCCCGGAGCCGCCTTGTTCCCCGCCACCCCCAGGCTGTGGGGGTGCGTTTTAAGGTCCGCCCTTGGTGGGGGGCAGCGTGCGCCCTCTACCGCCCCTCCAAAGCGCGGGGGGGTGTACATCCGAGAACCCCAAGTGCCTCTGCGAGGGGGGAAAAGGCGTCCTAGAGTCCCCCTCCCCAAGTTGGTGGGGGCGCAAGGCCTCCCAGCAAAGTCGCTTTGGGGAATGATCCTCTCCCAGCGCCCCAAATTACCGAGGGGGCCTCCACCCCAGATTCCCAGCACCCTTCTTCCCGGCCGCGCTCTTCCGGGAGGGGTGCGCCTTGGATCTCCCCCCACTCCCAGGCCCCAAAACCAGCTGCGGTGCTCGAGGTGCCCGGTGGGGCTCCCCGGGTGCCCCAGGCCCGAGGCCAAGGCCGCCCGAGGCCCGGCCTGGCTGGGTTGGGGGGGGTAAGCATGCCCCAGGGGCTGGGGGAGGGGGAAATCCGGGCCCGGAGCTGGAGGGGACCGGGCCTGGGATCTACAGGGCGAATCCGGGTCGCGAGCTGGGAGAGGGACCGGGACCTACGGGGCGACAGTGGGGGAGAGCCCGGGTGGTGGGGGCGGGGGAGTAGCGCTGGGCCGGGAGCTGGAGGGGACCCGGCCCAGGAGTTGGGGGAGGCGCCGAGTAGGGAGCCGGCGGGTGTGGGGGGGGAAATGGCCCGGCTGGGAACTGGGGTGCCAGGCGCCGACCTGGGGGAGGTGCGCGGGGCCCGGACCCGGGCGGGGAGCGGGGAGGAATGGCCTGCACGAGAACTGGGGGTGCCAGGCGCGGACCTAAGGGGGATGCCGGGCCCGGACCTGGGGGTGGGGGGTGGGGGCGCCGGGCCGGCGGGCCCCGCTTACCGAATGCCTGCTTTGTGGAAACATCATGTCAGTCGCGGCGGGGGGCGCGGGCTGCGCCCCGGCTGTGCGCCCCGGCTCGGGAGGCTCGGGGCGCCGGGCGGCCGCGCCTTTGTCCCGGCGCCGATCGGCAGCTCCCGGGGCCGCCGCCGCCGCCTCCCGCGCCCGGCCTCGCCCGCTTCCTGCGCCCCCTCCCCGCGCGCCCGGCCCCGGCGCGCCCCGGGCCCCGCTTCCTGCGCGCCCGGCGCCCCTCCCCGCCCCTCCCC